AAATATCTAACTCTACGAATAAAATATTCAACTCAAGAGGAAATAATATATAGCTTAAAATAGATGGATTTGCATTACTCATAAATGATACTAGGGGGATATTTATAGTGTTACATGTGAAACGATGTCCATTGGATGAGGGGATATACGGTCTCATTTCCTCAATTGAAGCATCTTATCCTAGGTATCAATTTGACCCTAATAGCATGTGGTATATTTAATGCTCTTAAAAATGGACAGCCACTCTACAACCTATATTGACAATACATTGACATATTACTCATTACAGAGGTCTAATCAATTATTTGAACAGAATTTTATTAATAGGAAATTTATAAAGGAGGTGAGTTGTCACTTGTCGTGGTGGAGTTTCGGATTTAGTCTCCTTGAGTACCAACACTTAATCAAGAGGGCTTTGATACGTCTATTTGCAATCCACGTGGGATGTCACATAGGCTTCACATGGGATCCTCTATGTCCATGTCCAAATATTCCATATTAAACATAGATGCATATGTCAAAGGAGGTGGGTCGTCACTTCTCATTCATCGAAGATTCATTTGGGTAAATTGGACCGGGCTGCAACTCGGCACTTGTGGTTAGTCTCGGATGATGAATAGCCCCTACTTCCATTTCATATCAGATTCAGATGATTATCCGATTAATACTCGGGTAAGGGATGACAAGGATTTTAACTGTTCTGCATTGCTGTTTGTCTTTCTGGTTTTGATGTCAACTGTCTGGTGTAAATAGTGGCAGGAAAACTTGAAAGTATTGAAGTAGTTTAAACAAGAAATGGAGAGTGATTTTGAGGATCAAACTTTAGAAATGCAGAACTAGAAGCCTTTTCAAATACTAGTGTGGTTAACGTGCGTTGCACGTTAGTTGTTTAACGTTGAAAATAAATATATGTAAATTTCAGAGAAATTTATTAAAGATATTCATAAGTTAATTCGAATAAACTCACTTGTCGTTTATATTTTTTGTATCTTTTTGATGCTTCATATGAAGATTTGGTATTAATCGCGTCACAAATGTATTCTTAACTAAATATAATCTTCGATTTAAGGATTTTCTTTTATATTAGGTTGTAAATGTTTTAGGAGCTTAAACGAAGAGTTAA